CGGGCGGGGGGGGGGCGGGGGGGGGGGGGGGGGGGGGGGGGGGGGGGGGGAGAAGAGAATAATTAGTTTGTTGTTAGCATAATTTTTGAGGGAAAGATGCAAATTGTTCAATTATTCACAAATTCAGAAAAAACGTGATATGGCACTAGACTTAAAATTAAGGAGGCTTATTCAAGGAGACCTGAGTGCAACTTCTCCTGGTTTACAATCACACGTAAAAATGAGTATAATTCTTTTCATGTATCAGGCACAATTTGTGCCTTGAGTTACCAATTTTGGCAGCATACTTTGTTAAATAATTCCAATTCCAACTACATTGTATGTCCATAAAACTCAGATTTCTTTCTTCATCTGCTGTGTTTCCTCTCAAACTTGGAAGAGAAATAGTCATTGAGTCCTTCTCATCAGTGCTTTTTCTGACTTGATTTTCAATAGCTTCTCTAGAGTATCCTCCTCAAAATATTTTAAGACAGTTTCTTTGATAGTTAATATAAGCTTTTCTCTACAGTATTCTGAGACTGTGATTAATTCCCTTTGTTTATGCTTTCATGCTGGAGAAAGTTTATAGACTGTTTTCTGAACTCAGTCTTTTATTTTGAAGACTTTGAAAATATGACTTTCAGCCTTCTTATGTCATATTCTCCAATAACTGCATCAGAGTGTATTATGTATTATTAGCAAGCAGTATTTCCAAGCCACTTCTGTTTTTCATGTTGGTGTAACATAATTCCTTTTGTTATACCAAAGCGGATCATGTATGCAGGAACCCCTAAATAAACTAGCCAAACCAGTCACTAAATCAAGTAGAAGAAATGGAAATTTATGACACTGTTTAATTCACCAGAACTCACTTTTTCTGTTAATATTCTCAAATTTAACTTTTCATAGACAGATACCAGTGTAATCAGGAAAAAGCACAGCTAAATGATATTTTGGGAACAAGGAGAAGAACAATTACTGATGCTCAACTCAAATACCAGAAGTCATGCCGTTAATTGACGTGTAGACAATACTGAATCCTCATTCACTGGATGTGTCACCAGCTTTTTACTTTGGCATTTTTGTGCTATGTGAAAAATACTGGCCAACAGTATAATTTTGGTAGTTTTACACAGGTAAAGCCAGAGCAGACTATTAGATTAGCTGAGCTAGCATCTTGTATCTCAGTTTCTTACACTTGATCCAGTTATCTGTCTTCAACCTAGTAATTTCTGGTTAACTGAAGGCCAACTTTGAAAAATAAGATATCCAACTGTGATTTGAAAGCAGCAATGGGTAGAGAATCATAATTTCCCTTGGTAGTTTATCCCAGTGGTTAATAACATTCAATCATAGAAACGTGCCTTGTTCTACTTTGAAGGTATCTGTCTGCAGCTTCCAGCTTCTGGTTATATCTTTCTGTGCTAGATGAAAAAACTCTTTAGCCCCTGAGTAATTTCTCCCCATGGCAGTACTTATTTATGGCAATCCAGCCAGCTTTCCATTTTATGTTTGAGAAGCCAAACAGATAGACCTCTTTAACCCTTAATGGCATTTGAGAACTGCAAAAGATTTCAAAATATTTTTATTACTCTTTTAATCTTCCTTCTCTTAAGTTTTCAGCATCTTTTAAAGAAATGGGTCCTCCCAAAGTTTGTGTAACATTTCAGTAATGATCTAACGTGCAGGTACAAGTAAAATGGCCACCCCACTCCTAGGCTACATTCCACTGTTTGTGTAACCAAATATCACATCAATTAAGTTTTTTTGCTGCGATGTCCCTTCTGACAGCTGGAGTTGTTCATCCACTACAATACTGAGATTCCTTCCAGAACTGCTGCTTTCTAGAACATGGTCCTCGAACCTCTACCTTGCAGTCTTTGTTCTCTGAGTTATAACTTCGTGATTTTTACAAGGTCTAACTTTGCTAATTGATCCAGGCATTTCATTATTTTTACTCTGCAAGTGTCATCTGCAGAACCGCTAGGCAGTAAATTTATGTCTCCTTCCCGGTCTTTGATAAAACTTTTGAGTACTAGGTCTGATGTCTGGAGAAGGAAGATATACTGTAAGACACACTGTTAGTCTGAGCTGCTTCTTTAGTGATGGTTGCTGTTTGTGATCAGTCAGTCTAGTTAACTATATTAATATTGTATAAATGCTACATGTCACTAAGTCAAACACCTTACAAAATTCTAAAGCTATTACATCTATACAAGTATCAGCCAAAGGTGCAATCTTGCCCAAAGAATGAAATCAAACTTGACATGTATTTTCATACAACCATGTTGCCCAGCATCAATATCTCTGTTACGTAAAGCTGGACTGGTCTATGGCATTTTCCACATTTTCCATGACATTGATAATTTCCCTGCTATTCCAAGACATATTAAACATGAATATCATTGGGCCAGAGTTCTCTTCACATAGCTCTTCAAAGTTTTCAGTGCAAGTTAACTGAGCCATAAGCTTTTAAAATGTTTATCCCAAGCTGAACTTTGACAGTTTGTGTGTTCAAGAGTGGACAAGAGCTATTGCCTCCTCCTCCTTGTCTGATACTAGCACATCATCCCACTTCGTCTTCAACTGGAGGAAATGAATTACTGAAAACTACTGCCCTTTTCTGTGTCATCATTAATGATTGTTCCACCTCTAACTGTTGAATATTGTTATATAAGAAGCAAAGCAAACTGGGATAAAAGAAAAATTAAAAACAGTAATTTCAATCTTCAATAAATCCTTAGTCATATTATGCTGTATTGTATAAAATATTTATTTTGGACTTTTAATTTACACTGGTTAAATGTTCATTATGGCAGTGCTGTTATTTTCAGTCTGAATTTTTTACTTCCATATTTCAGCATTATCTTCCTGTTTTGTCTTCCAGATTCCTGCTGCTGTGACACAGATAAGTTCAACCAACCACCCAGTGAAAGTGGGACTCTCAGATGCATTTGTGGTCGTGCACAGGATCCAGCAAATTCCCAGTATGTAGTATTGTAGTGGTGCTAATGGTTTGGAGGCTGAGAAATGAGTATAAACTGATTTCATCAAGGATGATTAGCTGCACAACAAATCACTTAGCTAATTTCAGCTTGTTAATTCAAGTGTAATTTTATTTGCTTGATAATTCCCAGTGTGGCTTTCTCTATCATTGTTTCTTTTGAGCTGATAAATTAAGTAAATAAAAGTAAATGGCCAGCCAAATAATGTACAATTAAACTGTCAACCAGCACAATCTGGTATTCCATAAGATACTTTATCTGGAATATGTCTCCATGTCCATAGTAGGGAAGAAGCAACCGGTTCAGAAAAATCATCTATCCAAAAAGAGAAAAATATCCAGGCTGGAAGTTCTTGATACTTTACATTCTGAAATTCAAATTCATATATACATTTTAGTGGGAGCAAAGAAGAGGAAATGTATTTATTAAGTAACATCTTGGGCTCACATAGTCATAGCAACAGTAATGCAGGTGACATTTAATTTTCTCTGGCTTTAATTCTACTTTGTGTGGCTTGACTGAAAAAGAGTAGTAGGAAATCAAGTGTGATTTCCTTGATGCTTTGTTTTAACTTACTGTGTACAGAACCCTTTGAGGTTGTTTAGCCATTAGAGAGTATGCTCGCTTTCCAAGTGTGCTGGTTTTATTTATACATTTGGAGCAAATTTGCTAAGTTCAATTTTTGATGATCCTCTAATAGCAGGGTGTAGATGGAAGGAGCTGCACTTGAAGCAGCCTCCTAGGGCTGAGTCCAGGCGTATTCTCCTAAAGTGAACCCTGACAGAGGTGGGGTACAGATAAAGCTCATAAGGACTGACCTGATCCAGCCCATCTTTAAGGCAGTTTGCAGATGGGGCTGACACTGAAGTTGCAGGTACCATTGTGTCTCAGCTCATCCTATCCCCTCATCACATTTAAACAGTCTTTGATATGAGGGAGCGTAAATCCTACATCTTGTATGTCCTGCCATGGGGAAGATGGAAAATTTCAGTACCATCTGTTGCTTGTTGTGAACTCAGAGTAGTGTGAAGGAGGTTGGCATGCCGAGATTTCCTTAAGAGATCAGGTCTTGGAAGAAATTTGTTTCTGAAGTATGATAGATAGTTGTGATGTGCCTATGGTTGCATGGATTGCTTTTGAGTGCTTAGGAACAAATGATTCTAGGCAACTGATTTTAGCAGTTTGAGTGATGTTTGTAAGTGAATGATCTGAATATTTCTGTGAGTCTTCAGCTTGTAAGAGCTCCTAAAATGGATTCAGGTGGAAATTAGGTTGATTGACTTGTGCAAATGGTTTATGAGAATAGTCACACAGAAATTCAATGTAAGAGATGCAAGCAGTATGCAGGTCTTTTGGCATCAGACCTCCATCATCAAACAACACTAAAGGACTTGTTTTAAATTTACATAGTTTATATGTAAAATATATGGTATATGTGAGTTTTTATTCTAGTTTGAATGTTTCTTTCTGTAGAATTATATCAGACATGCACCTTGTTTTACTACCACTACATAATGTTGGTTTTGATGAATACACAGTTATTTTGTAGGCTGCTAGTTTTATTATTTCTGTAAATTTTTTTGTCACATGACACTTTCTGCTAAGTGAAGTGACTGTAATTACTAGAAAATCTGTCTAGTGTTTCATCTTAAACTTACTCTGTTCATTAAGTTACTTTAAGGAATGGCAGATAAGAAGAATAGAGTGTGGGTAGAGTCTAAAACACGCCACTGCAGCAACTGTTTCAATAGCATTATTTCTCTATTACTCTGTGTAATGCACTGCTTTTCTCCTTAACGACTGGTTCTGTGGATGGTGGTAATTCATTATTATTTTTGCTAGTTTGCAGCTTACACTAGAGCTAGTATTAATCAAGGGAACCATCAGTTCGCATTAGATTTTCCTGAAGCCAAATTGTGCTTTCGATGAAATAGGTTTATATTAGTATGTACAGGCAACATAATAGCACCCTGACAGAACTGGTAAATAATGTTGGCCCATAGAGAGCCAGTGTCAGGTGCTCTTAAAATATGCGTGTTCTTGCATTCTTGTTTTTCAGAGGTGTTAAATCAACCATGGCTCTAGTCAATTACTGAAAAAGTGATATGATAGAATTGTTGTTTTACTTTATTTGTTAGCTCCTTAGGACAATGGAAGAATATAAATTGCTGTTTGTTTGTCCCAAAAGAAGGCAAAGATAGTATAGCTATTAGTTCTTGCTTAACACTTTAGCAAAGACTTTTCCATCAAGAGAACCCAGTTTCCCTTTATGTTGATGGCTAGTTATTAAAAAAAAAAAAAAATTTTTCAAACAAAAAAAACCCCAACTCTACTGCTTCATGTTTGAGTTTTGTCAATTATTTTTGTACACATCTTGCATTTGAAAAGCAAAGAAACATGAAGTGCAACACAAGCCTATTTGAACAAAAATATCCTCTCAATTTTCAAAAATGCTGAATGTCTTTCGTGCACTCTGTATGCTCAGCATTCTAAAATTTCAGTATAATAGTCCTGGTGTTACTGAAGTAATTTTGGAAGATTTAGAACTAACTATTTATCAGATTTTTTCAGACATACTGTCCAAAACATTAATAATAACTTTTTTAATACTTCTGAAATGTGAGTTCTAAAGCCAGGCAAAACTATTTCATTCTGAGGAGAGAAAAACATACTTTTTGATTAGCCATTTCATATCAAAAGTGCATTTTAATGAGTGCTGAAAAGGATCCTCTTGAAGAGCCACTTTTTGAAGTGGAGGACCTTATGCATTTCATACCTATTTTCATTAATATACTCTTACATATAAAGGCTTTGCAGTAATACCCCTTTTATCTGTCCTTAAAAGAATACAGGTACCTACATTTTATTACCTTATCTTTTAAGAGTTAGAGCATGGAGATGGGAGATTTTTGGCAGGTGGCTTTCTGCCTGTTTTCTATGTTTGATTTTTTTTTTTCTTGATCTGCTACTAATGCTTATATATAGACAATGTCTTTGTTTTTGAGCCTATATATGGTACTATAATATTGATGCAGATTGGACACTATTTTATATTTTTATATGTATAGATACATATGCCTGTGTATACTCTAGAGGTGCTTTGGAATGAATGGTAATGTGTGAAGGGAAGCAAATTTTTGCTTGACACCAAGGTTAACAAGAAAAGCCCTAAATTCTGAGATTTATATGGCAGCAAAATGGCAAATTAAGTCCACTGATTAATTTCAGAGGAAAAGTTTCTGCTTCTTCCAGATAATTCAAGTGAAGTGAGCCAGGCTCTGGGCCTCTGCTTCTGATTTGTCTGATAAGTAAGGGGGACCACCCTGATTTCTTCTTCTTCAGACAGGCTGAACACTTGTTCATTAAGTATTTTTCCTTTTGCAACAAAGACAATAAGAATGTTTAATGGATGTCTTCCAGTTAGACAACACATGATTGGTAAAGACAAAGCTGGGGGATAGCTTTACATGTTCCTCCAGCAAATCTTCTCTCCTCCCTTTTCTTCAGCATCTTCACTGCATCAGGAACCTTGTCCCTGTCCCATTACAACCACCTTCTCTTCCCTGTTCCCTCTTATTTCTTGTTTTTTCTCAGCCATCCTTGGCATTTTGTTCTTGGTCCTTCTTTCAGTCGCCTACGGTGTCCTTTGCTCTCCCTTCTGCAGACTCCCAAGATCTCTCTCTAATTTCACGACCATCTTTCTTCCCCTACATCTTTCCTTTCCTTCAGGGTTACTACATTGCTCTCCTTTGTTTCAGTGCTCTCTTCCCTTTTGTCTTTCAATTAGCTTTTTATTGTGCATGAAGAAGAAATGGAAAAGCATTTCCTGCAACCCACTATTTTATTTTAGCAATGAAAAAGCCCACCAGTGAGCTTGCCCAGATTGTGCTTTGTTTTCCACGAAAGCATGAAATACATTGGTAAAATGAGAGTGCCAGATTCAGGGGTTCTACACAGTGAGTTACTAATCTTGCCCTTACAGATAATGGGTCGGTTTTTCTCCACAATGAGACGTACTTCTCCATGCTCTTGGCCTCTACTGTATTAGGTACAGCTCTTTTAGGAAGTCCATACCTTGACAACCAAGCATTTAATGACACTGAAATTACTCAACAACACTGTGTACACAAGTGAAATTGTAGCTGAGCTATGTGTTGGTAATATTCCAGTTTCAGTGCAATTAGTGCCACTTAGTATGTAGTGTAACTCAAGCATATAATTAAGTGACAACTCTGCATGTTATAACTGTTTGCTGAAGAGTTCTCTCCAGTTTGTTTACAGCAGTGAGGCCCCTGAAAGAACCTTAGCATTACCTTCCTGAAGGGTAAAAGAAGACTAGCAGTTTATGTTGTGATATTTATTGTGTAAAGGTGCAGCACCATCTGGGAAATCGCAAAGTCTAATTTGCTGCTACCTTGCTGGTAATGTTGTCGTTTACTTCTGTGCAAAGTGGGCCCCAAAGTTACCGCTGTAAATTCGCAGTATTTATTCTTGCTTTCCACTAGTGTAACTAATTCCACAGAATGCCAGCTCCTCCAGCCCTGGGTGTTTGTCTGCTGGCCCAAAAGGGATTAGCCAGGCAGCTGGGTTCCTTGGCACTACATATCCAATTCAGGAGCAGTGAGGGAAAGAGGTGGGCATGCTGCCAGCCTTTGGTGGCATAACAGCACTTCAGAGACTGGTATGAGGTGATCAAAGTTTAAAATGTTCTCGTTTTAGCCAAAACCTTAACTGGCCATTGACCAATCTCAGAATTAGGCAGTTCAGTGCATGGTGGCTTAAGGGGACAAAGCATGTTTTTCACACCTAGATCCTGTACTAAAAGCAGCCTAGCTGGCATCAGGAGTTGGGGTAAATCTGAAAGAACATGGAGAGTTTCAAAGTAAATTTTGTGTGGTAGGCACAGAACGTTGGTGCAGAACAGGTTTTTTTCTACATTGTTCATAAAACGAGTATTTTCAGAGCCTACTTCACTGGTTTGCTTATTCACAGATTATACATCTTTGAGGTGTAGCTTCCAGGTTTTAAAGGATTTTTCAGTAACTTTTATGCAAATAATAAAATTAATACAATTAGGGAATCTGAGTTTTGATCTAGATTCAGACGTGTGTGCAATAGTCCATGACCGACAGCAATTGTGGTAGTGGTTTGATTACAGGCATGTTTGATCCCAGTGTCAGTGCCTTGAGAATTAATTAGTTAATATTGATAAGTTTAGCAATATGAAGCTGTTAAAAACAAAGAACAAAGATTGCTTTGACATTCTGATTCCCTTGCCTTTTGTGGTGATGGCAATCAGACATACCAGGCTGGCAAAATATATATTTGCATGAAGATTTTATTCAGCCAGTGGTGCTAAACAAAGTCCCTATCAAGCAAAACCAGTGGCTGTATAGTACAGCGGCTGTGCCCCACCCTTCTGTACCGCCTATATTTTAAACAAATTGCTAGCAGTGTAAGCTGGATATGTTTCATAAATTGTTTGCTTCAAATTGACTTCTGCATAATCAAATGCACTCTCTTACCATTTGTGTTTTCTCTATCAGCTAGACTTAAAAATGAAAGTACAGCTGTATGAATACATATGGCTTTGTTTAGCAGTTTTTGCTGGGTATATGGCTGATCTCAATTCTCTAGAAATCTTGCACTGACAAAGATTTTTATTTGTGTGAACATATAATTTAAACAATCAGACTGACTTCTCCAATATTTTCACATTTCACTGGGTTGCAGGTTTTAGCTGAGCAATGTTGTGTAAGGAAAAGTGATTATGTGATGGAAAAGTACCAGAGAGATTGTGCATCTGTTGGACATCTATTTAGAATGGTTTATTACTAGCTACTGACCCTTCAGATATGTTAGGAAGTCATTGGTGCTCTTCTGGCACCACTCCATCTCCAGAGCACTCTCCCTATTTAGTGCATTTAGTTAGCTCTGGAAATTCTGTTTCATAGAATATTTATATGCCATTATTTAGTTTAAAACTACTGTGATAAAACTACATAGAAATGTTTTGTCACTCCAGAATCTTGCACATCTATAATTTAGCAGTCCATTGCTTAGTCCCTTGAAAGGGTTCTTTCAATTGGCCTTCTGACCCACCACATTATCTCTCTAGGTCACTGGGGAATGTACTTACCTCAAGTAATACTGGTGTTTTCTTCAGCTTTTTCTGCTGGGACTGTACCTTTGGCCTCATATTCAAAGATAGCACATGTACATGCCACAGAAACAAACCGAAGAACAATTTGGACCATGCTGTAAATTAAACCAAATGTAAAAAAATACACTGTTATTGAAATAAAATATTATCATTTATATCATTCAGTTAAAAAGGGTATTTGAGATACTCAGACCTACAGAAAAGTAAAATATTTTTGTGACTAGGAGAAGAATATATACATATCTTCTGAAATTCAGAACTGGGAATGGTACTTCATAAGTATATATGCATGCAAAAAGTCCTTTTCCTTTTCTCCCTTCTCTGTAATGCCTCTTTTCAGTAAAATACCTGCACATGATGCTTAATTTTTTGCCTGTTATTACATCAAATTATTTCACTACTCCTTGTCAAGTTAAGGTGCATACTGAAGTACATGGGCTCATAAGCTCTTTGTGATTCTGCACTTGTACTTGTTTGTAAAAGGGCTAAAAGACAGCATAAGTCAAAGAAGAACAAGTTCCACCTGAGTGAAAGGCAGTGTGTGTCTTGGGTTGGAGCAGGAGTGTGTGTGGAGAGGTTGAGGGGAAAAGTGTCAGGGGAGAATATTCATTTTTCTGCTTATCCTGTTGAGTTTAGCTTTCCTAGCCTGTTTTGTTAAGGGGATACAGGCTCAGAATTCTAAATAGGGAGGAAAAAGTACATTTTGAGGAACTAAGCATGGCGTGTTTCAAGTCAGACTTTCAAAAGAATCTACACCTGCATTTTTTTACAACCTGGCCATGCAGATGAATGTGAACGCTCATGTTTGCAACCACCTGCCTGCAAATATATACAAAGCTGTTAGAAGGTGACTATGCAAATACTTCTCTGTGCTTAGGTTTCTTACAGTAGATAGATCCCTCGTATGCAAATTCACCACCTGTGGTTGGCACAGTCTTCCTCCTGAAGAAGAAAAATCAAACCTGAGTCTACCAGAAAGTGGGATGTAATGGAATCAACAGTCATGCTGAACTATGTGTGATTAGAAACAATTTTTTTGATAACAAACTTAATGCTCTTAAAATCAGGTTTTTTTAGAAATTTCATGCACTGGGTGAGATAAAAGTGCCTGTGACCTGAGCACTGATTCTTGCTGGATTTTTGGAAAGCCAGAAGCTCCTTATTTCTTGTAAGCCCTGTGAGGAGTCTGCTAGGAAATGTTCAGAGTAAACAGGATTATAGCATGCCAGTCTGTACCACTACTGATGAGATGAAATGGAGTTCAATTAAAGTGCCAGCACCCACCATTTTAATTTATGTATTCATTTGCTTATTTTCTTGGACAGAAGGATAAAGATTTCCGTGGAAACAAATTACAGCCTTCAGCATTGACAGGAGTTCATTTCAAACACATTTCCTGATCACTCTGACTTGGCAGGTGCTTTTATGGGACTTACCGTTCTGGGAGCATAACCTCGCACTGATGGCAAGAGATTTTCCCCACCCCAGCACAAGATTAGCTTTGTCTTGAAGACCCTTTCTGTCCAGTGGGTTTGAAGTACATGGCTAAGGCATTTATTGGGGTAAATGTTTGGCACATCCCCATATCTGTCTTTTAACTAGTCAGAATGACTTTGTAGGTAAAACATAGAACTAGCTCAATTATAGTCGCATTTCATACCAAAAGAGGAATCTGCTATCAGGAGGGGTGAAGCCATAGCAAAGTCAGCTTCAAATAAATGGCAAGAGGAACTGCTTGGCAAAGGTGCTGATTTGGAGCTAAACAGAAATATTATTGTCTGAAAGCCAGACACTACCTACCTGTGCCTGAGAGCTTACGCAGTGAGAGAGGGCAGAGAAGCTGCTTCTCCCACAGCAACCCTGGCTGATGCAGGAAAGAGTTATCCCACCTAGCACAGCTCTGCTTCTACCTCCCCATCCCACCTCAGAGATTCCCCTGTTTATTCCAGCTGACACCAATAGCTTGATGGCTATTTTCTGTGTGGTGTAAGGGGGATTCTCACACTTGTGCTTTTAGAGGTTGGCCATCCCTCTTTTCTTTGAAAGCTTTGTCTGCTTGAGCCAAGAGGCACTTTAGCCACAGGACACCCTAGTGCACTTTCTCTCTTCCCTTAAAAATTAGTATTTATTGCTTGATTGATTTTAGCTCAGGTTCTATTTTCTGTCTGAAAAATGCCTACAACATCCCTCCTAACAAAAGACTGCGAAAAAAACTTCGGATTTGGAGCTATGTGATTGCTTAACAGCTGGGGAGCCCATGTGAGCCCACTTCAATCTGCAGCAACACAGCCTTTATACCAAGCAACAAGGTGTGCCCTAATCTGTACAGGGCTGGCAACACAGAAGACTGCCTCAGATTGAGTTTGTGGCTGTCTGCAATTCCTTTTCTTCTGTTGCATGTAGACTCAGACCAGCTGTTGACCAGAGTAACCTGTTAATCTTTTGTATGTAACCCTTTATTCCTCTCTGGCATGATTCCACAGGGTCAGTGACTGTATTTAGCATTGATTTCGATTAGTTTAGCAGACCTTCAAAAAGGACATAAATTTGAATCCAACACACCAGGAAATCATCATTATTTTGTCAGATTGGCAGTAGAGGCTGTACTTTTAACTTGCAAATGTACAAGCTCACCAGTCTGCATTGCAGCCATGCACTTAAAATCTGGAATATTCAGAATACATGATAGGATATTGATCTGGAAACTAACAATTATGTGATTTTTTTGCACTTATCTTGTGCTTGGGTCTTACAGCCGTCTGTGTGTTCAAAGCCCGTAAGAACAATGCATTGAGTATATTGAATTTCTGCTTTGAGAAACTTAGGTGCAGTCAGCTTGTGTAAAGATTATGCATAACATTGGCTGTTTAGGAAGACTTGTCTTGTCTTCTTTAATATAATGTTATAATACGAAAAAAATGTTCTAGTGCATTTCGATGTGAGCTAGCTTGTAGCTAACAAATTTGATTAAGCAATGAAATCAGTTCTATTTGCACATCTTGACAAGAACTGACAAAGTGAGCATATAAAGCATTTCTTTCAAGTCTGTAAGCTGAGAAATGTCTTAGGAAAGCAAGTGTCTGAAATATACCCTAAAATGTCTGACAGTATACTCTCTAGAATTTCTGCCTAAATGAATGACTAAGATGCTTGAGAGCACGCTCAACGTTTTCACAGTCCTTTACCAGGACTAGGTACCTATTCTGTCAGCTCTGATGGTTTCTCAAGTGAAAAATTCTCTGTCTATGCTTTTTACATGTTCCTTCATGGTGTCTAAAGTTAAAAATATATTCTTGAGGAAAATTAGTGTCATGTGTGCACCTAAGGAACAGTGAACAATCATTACATCCACTATTTTTCACAATCTACAGACTGCAAAATAGTAAAGTGTGAAAATATTTTTATTTTTCTTTCCTGGTAGATGTCCGTAGAAGAACAATTTATGAGTACCACAGGGTGGAGCTACAGATGTCAAGGATTACCAATCTCTCAGCTGTTGAAATGATACCTCTTCCAAGTAAGTAGAACATAACATGGGCAGGAGCCAGATCTGGGAAGGACCCCCCTTTCCCCTCCCAGCAACACATACACAATTTAAAATATTCTGTTTTATCTGTGGGCTTGGAATCATGGCCAGATTCATTCATCCACTCTCGGGTTTATTCCCAGATGGATGATGCATTATACAGTGCATCTTCATGTATCTCAAGCTAGTTTATAGGTATATAGCTCCCAGTAGGTTTTGAATGAAACCTGTGCCAAATCATTTTTTCAGAAGAATGATTATATTTCCTTTAAATGTGTTTCCTCAAGAAAAAAAGAGCAGTTTTCATGCTTGCAAGGCAAACAGAAATTCTTTTGTGTACTGCGCATCACATTGCAAAGGAATATCCCCAAACACATTTTGCAGTTCATCTGCCTCTTTTGTCCAAGGTAAAACTATATTGTTTAGAAATCTCTGGGTTTAAACTGCCAGCTGTACTACTGTGGAAAAAACAGAAACAGCTATTTTTCTTTTTTCTAATCCAATTATAGTTCTTGCACACTTTCCTGTCAGTCTTATTATCTGCTTATGACTGAATGTTAGCAACACCAAGGAACACTGGAGCCAGGGAAGAAAGAGATTTAAGGACATACTTAATATTAAGCAGAAAGATAAAAATTTGTCAATGAAGCTGAATGAACAGTTGTGGAAGTGGGAATACATTTACAAATGGAATACAAATGGAATCCTACAGATAAAATGTACGTCTGTGTATACGGTTGTGCAATGCATTGTAATAGGTTGGTTTTAGTGTCTTATTTTGGACATATGTGAACCTGTTAAGTCCCCAAGTATATATTATCAGAAGATGTATCCTTCTTTTGTGCTTTTTATGAGAATTATTTGTGAGACTAATGTAATAATTTGTGTTTGTTTATCTACGTCCCAGCTTGTCTCCAGTTTACCAGCTGTGGTCCCTGTGTCACTGCACAGATTGGTTTCAACTGCAGCTGGTGCAGTAAACTCCAAAGGTAAAGAAAAGGATTTTTCTTTTTTGCATGGGTATGCAGCTGTGCTCAAGGGATATCCAAAAACATTGCCCATAGGTTATTCAGCACAAAGGGTTGTCATATTTAGATCTTATGTACATGCATTCACACATACACCTCAGTTGCGATCACTAGCAGCACATCATTGTTCCATTTCTCTTCAGCAAAGAAATTAGGCAAGAACGGTCAAAACAGTTGTTTTGGGACTTAAGCCCTTGTTCCTATTTCCTTAACCCTACTTAAAATCCTTTTGAAGGAGAACAAGAAGTAGAAATCATAATAAAATTCATATTTTCTCCTATATCCCTGTCTTCATCAAAAATAATTTAACCACATGGAAATGTGTGGTGGTAATGTAACTATAAAGACATACTTGTTCTCGTAACAGCAGGGAGACAAACCCATCCAAAGATTCAGTCTTTTCTTTTTTAACCTCTCATTATACTTAGTGGGTACATGGGGTCTCCTCAGCCTCTTACTGCCACATTGATGAGGACAGTCAAGTCAGTAGCAGGAGCGATTTAGACTCTGTGGAGCAGCTGGAGCACAGACAGCAAAATGGAAACTCTGCAGCTGTAGCTTTTCCAAAAAGTTCTTCAGTTGCTGACCTTCGTTGACCTTCATAACAAGAATTTATTTAACACCAGTCCTCTGACACAAAATGCAGTATCGTAATGGATATTTATTATTGTTGTGTTTTTCAACCCTAGTGATTAGGTTCAGAAATGTTGTATATAAAATGGATGCATAATAAAAGGCCAAAACGCTATTAGCTGTCTAAAACAGTGTAATAATTTGATACCATGCTGAAGAACTGATGAATAGCTGATGAACGTGGTACAGAATTAGGAACTTCGGGTCACTTCTATTATGTTTTCTTAAAATTCTATTCCCTTAGTAAGTCATTTGAGAAGTCACTCTGTTGTCAGTTTGTCTTGCAAAAACTCTTGAGTGGAGTTAGAGCTAAATTAAATCATTTCACAGAAAACATACCAAACATCTTCAAGATACTTGTAGAAAACTATTGCAAGCAAGCATGAAGAGATCTTGCTTGCTTTAGCCAATTTCTTGCTTTCAAACATTGCTTGATTCTACTTCCATTAATAAATGTTGTAGCTCTGAGAATCTGTCGGCTTTTGTTTGAGCAAGGTCTGTTGCTTTGTGGCCAGTGTTCTCATTTCTTTGGATAAACTCAATTCTAGCAGGTAAGATTTGAAGAGATGGTAAAGTTCAGACCTCTTATGAAGAACAGGCAAACTTTGAGATCTTTTGTTTTGCTCTGTAGTTTCTGAAGAACTGAGTTTCCTCAGTTCTAGTATTGCCGGAAAATCTGTTTCGCTCACTGAGGCACAAATTCCCTGTGGAGAACTAAAAAAGTTTTATCCTTCACCTTTAGCAGGAAGCAACACCAGGCATGTAGTTGCACTGTGTTCCCTTCCATGTATTTACGTGAATTTGTGGCTGCCCCTTCACAACTGGCAAGGTGTAATTTACTGCTGAAAAATACAGTCTCAGCACACCTATTTCTATTCAATTAAAGTTTGTATGAAAAAAAGCTTGCTTTTCGTTTTGCCTATGAAGATCACACTGCAATCAAAGATGAACCTACTGTGAGGCATTCCTGCACTGTTTCCCAAAAACAGCTGGCTCCACGCTGCAGCACACGTGCATTTGACAAGCTGTAGCAGATAGACTGCACAGTTTTATTGCTGTTAATTAGGCTATTACTGACAGTAGTGAGACTGTCATTTCAGTGACAGGCTGTGTTTGGGCATTGACTAGCAGCAAAAACAGGGACTGGAGTTGATTCCTTAAAGAAAGGATGGATCCAGAAAAGCAAACTAAGATTATGCCTCTACATGTGAATTTCAGTAGTTTAAAAACATTCATACCATTCAATTTGCATCTATAAAGATGAGTGATATTCAGCCAGATTTAAGCAAATGGAGAATTGTGTATAGAATCATAAAATAGTTCAGAATGGAAGGATCCACTAGAGGTCATCTAGTCTAACCTCCTGCTCAAAGCAGGGCCAGCTATGAGATCAGACCAGTTTGTTCATTACTTTGTTCAGCTGGGTCTTGAAAACCTCTGAGGCTATGGTCCAGTCCCCTGAACATCTTAATTTTATACTAGAATTTACACCTTATTTTTTAAATTGTTATTTCCTCCGGAAACATGGCTTTGGTGGTGATGTCTGCCTCAGGCCCCATTGCCTTTCTTGGCCACTCTCCTCCAGCTTCTGAAATGAGCAGCTTATTTCAACTAATGCAGTTCTACAGAGAAACAGATCTGAAATAATAAGTGGATACATATTTTGTGAAAAGATCTGAAATAATAAGTGGATACATATTTTGTGAAAAGAGGCAACTTGCTTTCCAAAATGTGAAGACTGAGCATTTATTTAGTTAGGCTACATTACACTGCAGGATCATTGTGACCAGGACTCATTCCTGTCTCAGCTTTGACAGTTTGCTGCTCCCTACCAGTTCTGGATACTCTTGCCTGCCTTCTAGTCCAGTGCCTCTCCAAAACCTTACTGTTCCTCAGCATGTTTACTCATCTTAGGGAAATACAAAAAAAGCCTTATTCCATTATCAGTGGAGATGCCTGGATCACAGGAGAGTACTCGGAATCATTTACTTCAGCACCACATTGTGGTTTTGCTCCCCTCAAAAATAAATTCACTGTGTTAAAATGTTCTTTTTGCATGTGATAAAGAAGCACTTGCTCAACAAGAAAACCTAACTGTCCTAGTTAAAACCATAAAGGATGGAAAGTTGTGAGTTCTTTCATCACAGTGCTCTAGCTTTTTGTGTGTGTCACTGCTCTTCAGTCACCAGCCTTGTAAATCAACCTAGACTTTTATCTCCTGTTGTGATTACATTGCTCTGCTGCAGCAGAATAAAATCTGCTTGGAAAAACAAGGGCAAACCATTACATGAAGTATTAACTTAGACATTTCAGAAGTGCCTAGAGTACAAAGAGAATTAATATTTACAGTCCACTTTCAAATCAATGCTCATAGGGGTTTTTGAAGTAAGCAGAAGCAGATGTTTAGGAGTAATACATGAGTAGTGCTTCTGGGTTGCAAAGTTGACTGGACACGCTGGTCCAGGAGATGAGAAACCAAAAGCTGTCTCTCTTGGCTGTAAGCAAAGCCCAGGGCAGGGAAGGCAATTAGCCCTTGGTACAAAAGCCTGAAGAAGGCTTTGAACTTGATAGTGACAGGTTTCCAGTGCAGTGATAATCTACTGACTGATCTAGTACTCCGATTTCTGCAGAAGGAGAATGCCTGTTTGCTGGTGAGGAGACCGGTAGGGAGCAATGAGGGTCAGATATGGCTGTAACAGTGATGTTCCTCCTGTGGAGCCACAGTAGCACTCCGGTACTCTAAAGTGGGATCTCCCAGAGCAGACAGACTTCCATGTGGGTAACAAGCAAACATACATCCAGCGGGAAGCAAAACTCTATACCAATTCTGCAACCCTTTTTTCTCAACAAGTTATGACCCCATTTAGCCAGAGCAACATTACTACCAAGAACAGCATCTTGTATGGTTTTTTTTCCTTGCATAAAATTTAAACCATATATTGAATCATTCACACAACAAAGTACAGTGTTGGAAAAACAGAAGGTTTATATAAAACTTGTAACTGCACAAGGAAAATTGACCAGCAGAGCCACTGCAGAATAACTGTACTCCCCCATGTGGGCAATCTGTGTTGGAATGAAAAAAACTGTATTCTACAACAGTGGGTTGTTTCCTACCTGTAACTTCAGCCCAGCTGCTGTGCAAACTCTGCAATCTTCAGAGAGGCAGGTTCTTCTTGTGGGTGATTCAGAGCAAAATCCTCTATTCCTGTCACTCTCTACAAGCTTAAATCACAGTTTCCCTTTTCAGAAGGGATCATCAAACTATCCTGTCTGAAATCCAATATGATGTATGTCATACAGTTTCATCATGACTAAAGCAAAGGCACATCATTTTCTTCTGACTTCAGCAGATGGAGGATTCCCCTAGGAGCTAATTTTTTTTTTAACTATGTATGTTCCATAACTGTTCCATAAGTAAAACTGTTGCATAAGTAAAAGAGACTAACTATAAATACATAAGCTAAGATGGTATCATAGCTTTCTCCTACACAAGGATCTATGTCTATAAAATGCCAGAAGCACTTAGCATCTGCCTCATGCTAGTCACCTGTGGCTGAAACTTGGATTATTTGCTTTTCATTATCTCTGACTTCCCAGCATATAAAACCTGGGAGAATTCATTAATGTTAGATCTGTTTATATCATCTTCTCATGCTTCTGAAAATGTTTATATACTCTAGGCACTTGGTATAGCCTGCATGTTAGAGATGTCATTTTCTAGGAAAGTTTTTGGAAGCTTTAAGGCAACTTTGCTGTTACATTATAGGTTCAGTTTGTACAACTTGCTCACATTACTGAAATAGTGAGTTCCCTTGGAAATATTTGAAGTTAATTGCCCAAGAAATAAATTGTGTTTATTAAGTTTAAGAGAGTTGGCACTGAAATAGAATGGAAATATGATGCTTAAATGATCAAGGAATTTTTAAAAGCCACCTTTATACAAAGTTTTGAGAAGATTTATGTTCAGATTCTGTAGATATTGATGGTTTTGTTTTGATGAACTTCAGGAAAGTCTCAGATTTTGGCAGTCAAGTGATATTTCAGTGAGTTCAGAAATAAGCAGACAAAGAGCACACACTTGCAATCTGTGCATGCTGGAGACTCAGGTTTTGAGTGTCTCATGCTTCACTTCATTAACACAGGATAAAAGCATTTCCCAATCCTTGCAACATCCCTCAGGTTTAGCGTGGTACTATCATCGCAACACTGGAGATAGGGAACTGGAGTACTGAAGGACTAAGGGCAAGAGCTGTGAACAGTTTAGATGATGGTTTTATTCAGCTGTCACTGTTAGTACGTATATTCAAATTTTAAATCCTCAAAAC